CGGGTGTAGGTTGCCACGTCTAAACATCACTAGTCTTGATACTCAACGTGTTATTGGAGTGAAGAGCCTCTATATTTGACAATCTCAACATCAAATTTGGAAGTACTTTTAATCATTGTTTCCGAAGAATTATGAATATGATAATTGAGATAGCTATGATAACCCTGCTGAACGCTATCATTGAAAGTTTTGAGCAAAACAAAAGGGAGTAATTTTTTTTGGCAAGATTTTTTGATCAACCTCATATATGGGATGTGTTTCAAGCGTCTTTTTTGGCTCTTGCTGGTTATATTTCTTTTTCTTTTTTCCAGATCAAATCAACTTAACTCATAAGAGCTCATGAAATACGAAACTTTCAGGAGTTTTTCCTCTCTCCTTCTTCACTACTTGGTTCAATGCTCCGCAGGATCCCCGCCCCGCCCCACCTCAGCAAGGTTCACGTCAGTATCAAGAAGAGCAATTCCTTTCTAACATGTTTTTGTATCTTGGCGTGTTTTTTGTTTTATGGCTTGTTTTTGTATGAGCTCTTCTTTCATACTTTTGTCTGCATGACCATCGCATCAAATAATTTCGAATTTGTATTGAAAATCTATTATTCAAGAATTAACATCATATACTGCTCTTTATCGAGTATTCACATTTGACTATCTAATTGAGCTTAGTTTTTATTTGATTCCCTCCATTTGATGATAACAAACAATTGGAAATATTTCAAATAGTAACTAACAAGAGATTGGATTTTACGCGAAGTGACCATTCATAAGTTGTAAACATAGAAAATTATTTTGGAAAATGCTATTTAAATCTCTTCTCTGTTGAACAATCTTACGGGTTAGAATTAAAAGAGACCTTGAAGAGGAATATCCTGGCATATGGGGTAGAACCTGGCGCAGTAGCCTAACTATCTTCTAAATATTTTTTCAGGCTCGAGTCTTGCCGTTGACAGTTTTTTTTTACAGACTAGCGTACGCAAAATCGTTTAGCAGATATGAAAGAAAGATTTGATAGCTTTTTCCAAAACACTTGGTAGAATGTCTTCATGAATGGCCAGCTTAAGAAGCGTTTCCTTTTAAGTTTCCGAACTCGCTATTTTTGTGGTGATTTCTGTTTTACGGCATGGAAATCAATTACGCAGTAATAACGATCATGCTTTTATACTGCGGAACTTCTCTGATTTTGAGATTGAGGCGAAGAATGTATTTAAAGAAGGTTTCTCGACCAAGTGAATTAATTTTTGTTACGTTCTCCTAATCTGTTGATTTTTGAGTCAGGCATTACTTCAACCACGTAGCCATCTAAAGGTTTATGTTTGATCACACAGCATGCTCGTGGCTTCAAAATGAGTTTGAATCATTGTCAGCATGGTTATAGAGATAATCGCATCTCCCGTCACAGCCGTTCCTTTCAGCTTCTAAGAGGGTAGTCTCTAGATCTCAACGATCATGAAAGCACATGATGCTCTATTGTTATAAACTGCGGACGACACTCAATTTTTTGAGAAATTGCAAAGTGAACTTATTGGTATTATATGTATTATTGGTATGACAGCAC